AATTGCTGTGCATTGTGGGACTGATTAAGTTCATTAGAACATCCACTATGGTTTCAAACAGCAATACAAATGGCAGCTCTGTAAAATACTGGACTAATTAACGCTCATTTTTATTTTTGATTTTTTTTGCTGCTGGTTTAAACTACTTATTTAAAATGAGCTGAAACAAAAAAAAAAAATTCTCGAGATTTTTTTTGGACAACTTAATTGTTTTATGTTCGCTCCACTTAAATTAGTTAAAATAACTTAACTGAATTGTGTTGGGACATGTGAAACCATGCACTGAAAAAAATGTTGTGTGCAAAATTGTTGCAAACAATTTATTTGTGTTGAATTTAAGCAAACAAATTAAATTTAGTAATGTTTAACTTAATTTGTTTGTCTAAATCCAGCCCAAACAAATTGTTCACAACCACTTAACTTCAAAAATGTAAGTAAATTCAAGGAATCATCTTTGAATAATTTTTCTGAGTGCAATTTTTACAGTGAAGGGGGATTCAGATACAGCCTATATGTGAACATTATTAATATTTTATGAGACTTTCTGGAGTCATTGAGCAAGAAAAGGACTTCAACCTTGTTCTTTAAAACCTCATTTTGAAGGGTGATGCAATAAACATAGCCACCAGCTGTTCCTCTGAAGGCCCTTCTCATAATTAGAATGTGGGTATTATATTTTAAGTGTATTTTGACCATGAGTTTAATTCATGAATAGCTTACTGTATGCAGCATTCGTTTTGATTAGGCACACTCACTGTTTATTAACTGTTCAACATTAAAGAATCAATTACATTTCATAATTAAAATCCACATTTAGGTTTGCTATTAAAACGCAACCTGATGAAAATATCTGCTTTTCTTTGAACCTAATGCTAGAAATTAGCATAATTATATTCATGTCCTGATTTAGTGGCCTGCAATTCTGCTATTAAAGCTTCACTCGTTCAATGACAAAAAAGGAATGGAAAATAATGGAGATAGTTTTCCAGTGTTTATGACACTCTCTGCTGTGAATCAGTAGTCATGATGAAATCTGTATTTCCTGCTTATTATGAGTTAGTGTGTTCATTTTATCATGAGCTACAGTAGTGTGAAGATCATCATAAGCCAGACAACTTATACTTAACTTAAGTTAACTTATTGGTCAGATGGTCTTACCAGAGTTTATTGCTCTTGTTATATTTGTCGAGTTAAACAAGCACATAACTGTTTTACTACTGACACATGGATTTCTTAGTATTTCATATTGGTAGGTTTATTATTTCATATTTTTGGCTGTAGTGTTTTGCAGCAATCTCTACCCGTTCTGTGGCACATTATTTAAATAGCAAATGCATTTGTGCCCTGGTCTGAAAATAAGGTGTGTTAAGACGCATTGTTGGCATATAACAATAGTCAGGCGATTAAAATTGGATTGTACTTGTCGTAACCCTTTATAGAACGCTAGAGATCACTTACTTTCACTCGGACTATAATTCTACCCCAAAATGAACTGCAACTCCCTTCAGCCACCACATACACACACCTGTTCCAGTTCCAGTTATACTTGTAACATTATGAACCATTCTTCTAGTCTAGTTTTTCCATGTCTGACCATTGCCTTGTTCTTTCATTTACGTTATCTGCTATATTGACCATTTGCCTGTGTCCTGACTACGCTTCTGGATTTGCCTGAATATACACGTTTACCTGTGCTTGACCACTGCCTGTACGACTACTCTTTAATTAAGCTGCATGTGGATCCTCTACCCCGTTGTCACCATCCTTCCGTAACAGTATACCAATGACCAACTAAAAATTGTGTAAAGTCAGTTATCCATTTTTTTGAGTGTTTTAGTGATATGCGATTATAGGCAGTCCATAACGCATATAACATTGCCTATTACACAAACATGGATGCCCAGCAACACACAAAAATCTTTAAATATAAAAAAAAATAATAATTCAAATGAAAAATATTGATACTGTCTACATAAATATAAAATCCGATACCTCCTCCCCCACCTTTTTCACTTCAGGGGGCTATTTCTGATCTGCTTATGTGCAAAATTAAAGCTGTTTTCTTGCTAGTGAAGCATTCAGTTTTTCTGCGTTATTTTTTCCATATAAGTAGCAAATGCGACATGGCTTGACCAAAACAACTACAAGAAATTATTGGTTTAATGCCCCAACACACCCATAACTCATTAAGCGAATAAGGACTATATTTTTAGACCATGCACCAAGTCGCTTTTCTCATTCTTTAAATAACAAAATTGGATTTGGACATGCCCTTAGTGCATAGGGACTGTACACTTGCATGCACTTCATTAAAGATAATTAAAAATGATTTCCTTACAGAGTATACAAGTTTCAGCAATAAAGCAATCTAAAGCATTTTATTATATTTTTAAATGTAAAAAAATATATATTCTAATAAATATATTGTCTTTATTATGACTAAAATGCCATATGTATATCAATATGGTGTCCTTGTTTAATGCATGAGAGATTTCTGCTCACATAATGACCTTCTATCCGGTCTGCCCCTGTATTTTACAGCTCTCTGCTTTAGAGCACCTTAGTTATGGAGCATCAGCCGGGCAGAAAGACCATTTAGGGGATGTCATTTCAGTGAGCAATTGGGTTTCACGTTCGATAGAGTTTGATGGAAACACTTCATTGCGCTTATAGGATGACTGCAAGCATTTCCCTTCCTAAATATGGCTAATATTGCTCATTTCAGGAGGAAAGAGTCTAAACCAGAAGTGAAAACTCTCAAATGCACTGAGAAATGTTGTGAACGGATTTGACAATAGACTGTAATAGGTCATTAAATCAGCCTCCAGGTCCCTTCACCTGCTCAAAACTGCTGGACTGTTTGTTTTCTGCCTCATTCACATATCTATCATGCTAGAGGTGCTCTCAGAGAGGTTTAGCTTTCCCATCAGACTTTGCTCCCATGCTGCTGACCTTAAAGTGGTCGATCAGTGTGGAAGTTTGAGTGCTTTTACAACAGGTGATGATGTTGAGACGTTAATAAGCAGGATCTAAATGAAGCATCATTGGACGTAAACACCTTGTTGGGAGCACATATGGGCCAGATGGAAGCTCTTCTCATTGCACACGTTTTAAAAGTGCACATTACGTGACTTGCATAAAATCAGCTCTAAACCACCAGCTGTTTTCTTTCCGTCCGTCTGTCTGTCTGTCTATCTGTGTTTATAGTCACTATACTGCTTGTTTTAAATTAACATGAATGCTTTTCTTTGTTTATATGTACAGTATACATGCACATTCTGACTGTCTGTCAGAAAACATTAAAGAGACAGATGTCACATACTGTTCTCTTCTACAAGATCACTTAAAGTAAGTAATGATATAAATAGTCTCAGAAATCAGGACACTGGTGGTTTCAAAAAGCACTACTTTTTTAAGATCTTCCCTCTGAAGTTGAAAATGAGGGATAAATTATTGCAGCAGTCCATTAGTCGCAGCATATTTCAGTTTTTTTAAATATTTTAGACATATCTTAAGATAATTATACCTCAGGTTTGATTCTACTGAATAAAATGTTGCCTTTATAACCTCAAAAAGAAGTAGCTCATGTCTGTCACCAACAGACACTTTTATCTACACTTTCATCTGTTGATGAGGTAAAAACTCACGCAACATTTTCAGCTCAATATTCCCTGTATTGATTTGTATTCTCACTTTCATGTGAGTCTATTTTATGTCTCATGTCAATTCATTAATTTGCTTTGAGCAGAATCTCTCACACACGTGAACAGGATTTACTGGGTTAATAAAAGACGCTGCATTATACTGACATAAAGCCATGAGCGCTTTTGATGAACATTTGTTTCTTGATTCATTTCCGTACGTTGTTTGTTTGAGCTCAAATCCCTTGATTAAAATATCCTGCTCTCTTGGATTAATGTCTTCAGTGGGATTTTTAATCAAGCTGCCAAAAGCTTTAATGGCCAAGAATTATTCATAATGATGGAGGAATAAAGGTGTAATAAAACATTTGGAGCATCAAACTGAGACATGTTTATAACAGCTGAGAATCTGGCTGGCTTTCTCTTGGTCAAACAATACATACGTAGATGTGAAAATACTAATAACATAAAGAGTCGTTCTGAATCTGATCAGTCAGCAGAGATTTTGCCAGAGGCTCCATTATGAAGATGTGCAGAAGATGAACCTGCAGTGTAATGCTTTCATATATAATTCATGTTATTCATATTTAATCTGTTTTCATATACGGCAACTGGCAAAAAGCCACCTTTAAATGACTAACTGGAAGACAGTGTCACGTTTTACTGAAATACTTGAGATTGTGGTGTTACATTGATGGTGTTTTTGATTTTAAATGCAGAACAAAACTAAGGTTAAAAATTATCAGCATATTAAGCATTTAATATTAACAGTGACTTTCAGTTATTATTATTTTATAATCTTCTGTGTTTGTTATTTGTGCAGATAATTCAAAGAAAAAAAACGGTAGTACCGTGGTATTTTGTTTATTTAAATAGCCTCAATGTGGTGAAGTTTCACATTATAATATAATTTTATCAGTTCTAATCTATTCAGACTTTATTTAAACGGGAAATAACCGGGTACAGTCAGTATTTCCTCATGTGACTGTATTAGATATGGAGAATCTTTGATCCACAGACACAGTTAATGATGAAGGTCTTTTTCTTTGACCCAAAACTACCTGTCTTCATAGCCAATCCTACAGGGAGAGATTTGATGCAGCAGCAGAGTTTCTCTCAGGGGTGAATCCAGTTGATTCTCAACAGCAGTCAATGTTACTTCATATCAATGGATAACAAAAGCTTCACTAGTGAGAAATATGAGCTGGATTTCCAAGAAACACTTTCTAATTTCATTTATAAAGCCGATCAAAGTTTTGTTCACTTTTGAAAGTAAAACAGAAGCTTGTGTGAGAACGTTTTATGCATTTGATGCTGTAAAATAACCCAATAAGATGTCTCTCTGTCTCTAATCCACAGGAGAAGCAGAGGTTTCTGACTGATGTCCTTCATGAGGTGATGTTGCTGGACGGTTTGGCCAGTTCTCACCCAATCTCTCAGCAAGTGTTTGAAGCCACAGACATTGACAGAGTCTTTGACTGGATCGCCTATAAGAAGGCAAGAGAATCTCTCATAGGCTCCTACAGGCTTTATCTGCATGATGGAAATGACTGTAAACCAGGGGTATCCAAACTACGGCCCGCGGGCCGTCTGCGGCCCGCAATCAGTTTTGTGGCGGCCCGCGAGGCTTTTTAGAAATATCAATAGAATCTTGCCCACTATACAAAAAAATAACGTAATTCAATAAATAACCACCGGGTTTCGCTATTACATGCATTCAATTAAGCAAGATCGATCGATCGATCGATCGATCGATCGATCGATCTATCTATCTATCTATCTATCTATCTATCTATCTATCTATCTATCTATCTATCTATCTATCTATCTATCTATCTATCTATCTATCTATCTATCTATCTATCTATCTATCTATCTATCTATCTATCTATCTATCTATCTATCTATCTATCTATCTATAAATATATATATGATTTATTTCTTCTTTTTTAAATATTTCCCAAATGATGTTTAACAGAGCAAGGACATTTTCACAATATGTCTGATAATACTTTTTCTTCTGGAGAAAGACTTATTTGTTTTATTTCGGCTAGAATAAAAGCAGTTTTGAATTTTTTATGAACCATTTTAAGGTCAAAATTATTAGCCCCTTAAGTCTTCAGAACAAACCATTGTTATAAAATAACTTGCCTAAGTACCTTAACTTGACTAGTTAACCTAATTAACCCAGTTAAGCCTTTAAATGTCACTTTAAGCTGTATAGAAGTGTCTTGAAAAATATCTAGTCAAATATTATTTACTGTCATCATGGCAAAGATAAAATAAATCAGTTATTAGAAATGAGGTACTAAAACTATTATGTTTAGAAATGTGTGGAAAAAAAAATCTTCCCTCCGTTAAACAGAAATTGGGGAAAAAATAAACAGTGGGGCTAATAATTTAGGGGGGCTAATTCTGACTTCAATTTTATATATATATATATATATATATATATATATATATATATATATATGCGTGTCTGTGTGATGTATGTAAAATTTGGCCCGGGACAATGTTTTTTTTTTGCATCTGGCCCTCGGTCCAATAAGTTTGGACACCCCTGCTGTAAACCTTTAATATTTATCTGAACAAGTTTATGCTAAAAACTGTAGTAAAAGTAAAGTGAAATTCCATGTTTTACTTTCCTTTTTATGAGTTGAAGAGGTTGAAGAGAAACAATGACTTTGCAAAACAGTAGTATCGCTGGTCTAAATCAGCCTTTTATTAAGTGTGAGGCCTTTACCACACTGATAAAACTTGATCTTTTATTAAGTCCAGTAAACACCTCAGTTTGCTTGTTATTTTCTCCTGCTAAAATGTTCCCAGTTTATCTTTGTGAATAGTAAATGGAGTGGCGCTGTTATAAGCCTCTTCACATAGGCATGAAAAGCAGTTTAATTAAAAGCTTGTTTTTAAGTAAGTCGAAGACAGAAGCCGTTACATTGTAAGAGATAGTGAGGTTTCGTTACTCTGGGGACTTTAGTGGCACAAAAAAAAACAGACGACATCTATTTAATTACCTCTTTCTCACTGGAACACTTTTTACTGTTAATAACTCCAGCACCCAAATAAATCCTCTCATCTCCGACATCTAAAGGCCATTAAAGGCACAGGAAGCACTTAAGAGAAAATCTGGTCCTCTGTCAGAGATCAGACGCAGAAAAAAGCCACTCAGAAATCAACTCTCCTTCCAGCTGTCAATCAACTCAAGGCGAGTTTGTGATTGGCTGTTGCTCTTCTTCAAGCCCCTCCCCGTTTCCCCTCAGGTCCTGAGGCATTATGAACTCTGTCAGTCAAACTACAGTGATCGTGACATTGAGCCTCATCGCTTCCTCCCACAAAACATCCCATGAGCCCTTGAGCTAACAGGAAGTGACACGCATCACACAGACGGATGGGAATAAGATTCTGTCAAATAAGCATGTCAAAGTCACCCAGAGTAAAAAGAAAAATACAGATTTATAAGATAGCAGAAAGCAGCAGGACAAGTGTCATAAAGTCCTATCTTAAATGAACCATAGCTAACACAAATTATTTTTAAATTATTTTTTAAAAATGTTATGTTGTTGTGATGCACAATATAAAATTTAGATTTAATTTAAATTAATAAAATGTAATTAAAACATTTGAAATTAATGCATTAATATTTTTTTACATAAAATGTCGAAGTTAAATTTAAGCTGCAAGCAGCAATGAAAGGGACCTTGCACCCAAACATTTTGGCACACCCACTTTAGAAACCCATAACAAGTGTACATTTTTGTCACACGAGCAAAATTGACTCCGTTTTTAAGCATGTTTGGACCCTAAAAAATGTGATTTATTCTTGATAATAATAATAATAATAATAATAATAATAATAATAATAATAATAATAATAATAATAAATGGAGGAATTCCAATAGGGCCTAGGCATCAAACTAAATCTTATCTATGAAGTGCTTTGTTTTCTTTGTTTGCTCATTACTACACCTGTACACAGCACTAAAGTCCAGCATCTTCACGTTGGCTTTCACATAGTCTTGACTAAGTGCTGTTGAATGACTTTTGTCCTGTGAGCACTGTACAAATGTGGTGGCTGTATTGACTCATGCTCAGGGCCCGTATGCGATATCTAGTGCATAAATATGAGTTTGAACAAGCAGCAAAAGCAATGTTTTGAAAGCAGTAGCATTATGTGGATTATTTGTGATTTTAAATGAGTTTCTCTGGTTATCAACATCATTTGAGATTGTTATTCTGTTCATAAAGCTTCAAACTATTTTGTTGATATCTGTATATATGTGGACAGCAGATGTAAATGTGAATCTATGACTGAAGGCGTTTTTACTGTGCTTCTTCAGGGAGCTGCTCTGATCCGAATGCTGGCAAACGTCATGGGACAAACACTATTCCAGAGAGCCCTCAATGTAAGTCAAGAGTTTCTTTCATCTTTTCTCTTTGTGGTCACAGAAGATTTCACACGCATGTGTGTGTTTCTACTGCTAATGTGTCTTACAAATATGCTTACAAGGCTTTATGTTATACAGTAAATTCTGCTGAAAAAAAAATCAACAAATGTGTCTCAATTTATTTTTTATTTCAAAAGTTCAGTCCTTGTTAAATCTATGAAATGTTATTTTTAGGGAATCTAAATGTGCTAAAAACAATTCTCACCATTCTCAGCATGAATATTGTGACAAATATTGTTCTGAAAGTCACGTAGGTTTCTGCCGTGAGCGTTTGTGTGATTATAGGAGCGTGTCTGTTTACATGCTCTTCCTATCTTCAGAGCTACAACAGCTTGTGACGCGCTGCCATCAGCTTGAGGTGAAAGCCACACAATCAGACAAGCTATTAAACGTGTTCACAAACTAATTGAATGTCTGAAGCATTCACAATCAGAAGATAAACCTGTGTCTTCATTCTTTATATCTGAGGAAACACATCAGTAAAGCTCTGGTCTGACATTGTGTTGAAACTACAGATGAAAGACCAAGGCTGGGGTTTCACTGTGAGGCTTTATACAGTATTTTGAGGTTTTTCCTCAAGCTCTTTCCTTGTCCATCTCAGTCCAGACACCCTGGAGAGTGAACAGCAGATCTGTGCTATATTATTAGAGGCTGTTAATGCTTTTCTGGACACCATATGGCTGCTGTATCAGACTGCATGCTGAAATGTGGTTAAAGGACCTGAGCTGTGAACAAACTGGCTGCAGGTTAGGAGTAAATCTGTAATAAATGCAAATTAGTTAAAGGTATAAATTACTCATGTTTTGACATGGGTTCACACGGTTGTGCCGTTTCAGAGGTGTAAAACTCACATACAGATTCCTCACCTTGTAGATCCAGATAAAACAGTTTTCAAAACATGAGTAACTTCCCGCTTTATTTCTTTATGACTGCGCTGCTGTCAAAAATCTGTCAGTTTCACAGCATATTTCTGGGTTATTTTTGACGTTGTGGTGTAGTGTTGCTATTAGTGGCACAATCAGGTCATGTTTTCTGCAGAAAAACACATTTAATGCTTCATTTATAGATAGTTGAACACAGATAGGCCTTTATGAATATTAGTAATGATAAATCTTTAACCAGCAGACATGGGTTTAATGTAATTGCTTTGAATTATCTAAAATTCTCAAAAAAAACATTGCATGAATTAGATGCTTTGTTTCCAGGGAGGACTTAAAGTAACTTGTTCATGCTTTTATCAGCAGCAGCGTGGATTACTGTAACAGACTCCCCATTGGCCTTACCAAAAAGAGAGTCAGTCAGTCAGTTGCAGCTCATCCAGAATGCTGTTGTCAGGATTCTGACCAGAACCAGAAAATTAGAGCACATCACCTGAGGACAGTCTTTACACTGGCTACCAGTTATATTCAGAACAGAATTTAAAGTATTACTACTTGTCTATCATTTACTAAATGGCCTTGGACCTCAATACATTACAGATATGCTGACTGAATACAAACCCAACAGATCCCTCAGATCATTAGGATCAAGTAAATTAACAATTCCAAGAGTTCAGTCAAAGCAGGGGGATTCTGCCTTCAGGTACAACTCCCCCTGCTGCTGGAATCAGCTTCCAGAAATGTGCTACAACTTTAGGCACATTCAAATCAAGACTGAAAACACATCTGTTTAGCTGGGCCTTTACTGTATGAGCACTATGCTACGTCCGACATATCGCACTATTACAGTATGTCTTTCTTTTCTTTTTCATTCCTTTAAAACTTTTAACACATTTTAAACTTTTTTTTTATCTGTTTTTAATCATTTTTATTCTTTGTTGTTTTTATTTTCTTGTTTCTTTTATTCTTGTTTAAGTAAAGCACTTAGAATTACCACTGTGTGTGAAATGTGCTATCTAAATAAACTTGCCTTTGTTTAAAATTATTTTGGTTAATTTTGTTCACTTTTAGTTAGCATAATAAATAAGTCATGACAGAATGATATCTGAAAAATAATCTGATTTACAATAGTTTAATCGGTCACACTTTATATTGGGTTGTAACTATAGATTGATGTATTGTCATTTCATTTAAAGTACTTGCATTTACCATGGCATTACTAAATGCATCCATAAACGTCTTCTTAAAATCTAAACCCTAATCACGCCCCTACACAGAACTCATTAATGGTTAGGGCTGGGAAGGTTATTATTTATACAATGTATTTCAATACCGATTACAAAATACTTGTTTTAAAAACACAAACCCCATGCTGTATCAAAATGAATATAAACTCGTCAAACAAATCCAAAACAACTGATACAGTTCTCCATATTATATAATAGATTAGTTCAACAAGTGGACCTAACTTAATCACTAATAATTCTCTCTATAGAGAAGCAAATGACACAAAAGAATCACTGAGCCAAAATTGACAGGCAAAGCAACAATGGTCACAAGTAATATTGTTACATTTTAGTGTAATTTAACAAGCACAATTTGCTAACAATGCTTTAAGTAAACACACTCCGATCTATCCAGTTTGTGATTCATTCAAGTTGGTTTTGTTAAACAAAATAAATTATTAATTTAAAATTGATTCACTCAAAAGAATCATTTGTTCACAACAAATTAGATTATGAACTCACATTACTGCACCAATATTTTTAATGAATGAAATACTAAGTTCATCTGTAAATCACAGAAAGCTATTATTTGACTTTATAAATAATTATACCATGCATGATTCACGTGGAACAGTTAAATGAAAGCAAAGTAAATTCTATGACAATTCAGTTTCATTTTTTATTGAAATTATTTCAAACAACCACAACATTAACAAATCTACATTAAAGTATGAGGGAATTGAAAAAAAGATTTACTGGATAACATATGTCAAAGACCATGAAGTATTTCATGCTTTTTTTTAGATTGAACATTACATCCTTTGATGCAGATACAAATTTAGTTGCAGCCAGGTAGGCATAGAGTGGGTAGTGTCCTTTTTCAGATTTAAAAGCAAAATACTGTTCGTAATTCCAGCAGAGAATGCAGCAAAAGCATGGCTTTTTGTGTTGAACATTATTATACCATGACCATCAGTACTACTATGAATTGCCATATTGGTTTAAATCTCCATGTTTACTTAAAATGTAAGTGAAGAAATTACATTAAGATTCACAGTAATTACTTTGGTATTCAAAAATGTTAAAATGTTTTCCGATGTAACTGTAATCGCATTACTACCTATCTGAAATTTAATTATATTGAAATACATTTACTTTTATATTTTATATTTAAAATACATGGTAATATTTTGTTACTCCCCAGCCCTGATAGAGGTACATGAGCAACGTGCAGTTCATAATCTTAAATTCCTGCAGGTAGTTAATAGCAGTACACAGTAGTTATATAGTCATAGTACAGAACTGACCAGTTTTAACTTTGGAACTACCAAAATTCTACAATAACTAGAATGGCCATATCGGTCTCATATGAGACAGCATATTGGCACATCATATTTAAATTCAAAGCTTCTATTGAGATATTAGAAGAAAGTTTTCAATGTTTGTCATCATATTTTATAAAGTCATTACCCTAAAAATGCGATCGCTTTGGTAATACAGCTTAGTTATTTGGACAATTTACTACACCACGCGAGAAGCTACACACATCACTTTAACTTCACAAAAAGGAGAGCAAGATTTTTTTAATGGCACTGAATAAGTTGTTTTGAAAAACATTTAAAGTAAAGTTATGTTCATGTTAGCAGGAAGTTGCTAGGCAACAGAGATCACTGATTTGAGCCCCAGGTGGGTTGGTTGGCATTTCTGTATAGAGCTTGCATGTTCTCCCCGTTGGCGTGGGTTTCCTCTGGTTGCTCTGGATTCCAGCATAAGTCCAAAAACAGGCTATAGCTGAATTGGGTAAGCTAAATTGTCTATAGTGTATTGTATGTATGTCCTAGTCCTCCAGGTTGGAGGTTAAGCGTTTGGCTAATGACCCACTTTGTAAAAATTAGATGTTACGAAACATCCAACATGGTGCAGCTAAATATCATCTTCAATATATATGGCCCTGGGAGTAAGTAATTACATTAAATTAACAACATTAAATACAAATAAACAGATGCTTTAATGTTTTATGTTCTAATTCTAGAGTTAACCATTTCATCAAATGATTCGGAATAATCTGAAAGTAAGCAGCTCAAGTCAGCACAGATCTACAATTTACATTTACTCCAGTTTGAAATGAGCCAATACACACTGTCATATGTGATCCTACCATGTATTTACCAATTCATTCAGCTTATGAGATTATTAGAAACTGTTTGATTTTGGGTAAAATATTCCTTATGGGGACGACTTGCTTCATTCAACATATGTCTGTGATCAGCTCTGTTCTCTCCTCTGCTGTCTGCCTGCCTCTGTTGACTGAAGCTGATTTCATTCTCTCAGTGTCTCTCTTTTGCTCTGTGTGGCATCTCTTCTCCTCCTCGTGTCTTTCCAATATTGGAGTATCAGACAGACGTGAAGCTGAACTCTTCAGAATACTTAAACAGCAGACAGATTGAAGTCCATTACCCATCTTGCTCTCTCTCTTTCTGTGAGCACGAGGGAGTCTTCATTGGTAAATGGTGGATGCGCTGCTGGGGCGAAGGATGAATGTCTCTTATAAAGAGTAGTGGGAGTCATAAATGAAGTCTACTGCTGGAGTGATGAAGCTCCGCCATGTCATTTACACACACTGCCCATCGCTTTTAAAGCCACTTTCAGATGGATCATATTATGGGTTAGAAGAAATAGTCATTCCGCCTGGAAATGTGAAATCGTGACCTGTGAATAGCAGAGGACAAGTGTGCTTCTGCCCGGGAGAAATGAACTCCAGTGCGTTACAGTCCTTCTTCATCCTCCGGGTGTGATTTGAAGCTTCTCCTTCCCTAAATTCCTGTTTGTCGGCTCTCAGCGGGTTCCTGACTTG